TTACTGATCTACATCCGTAATTATACTCTGTCGGATATAGTTATTTAGTAACCATATTCGCATCCTGACCGATATAGACATTTCATCGTACAGGTTCTTTTTTCCACCTTTAGGTGCGAGCATCTCCAACAGCTTCCCCATTTTTCATTTTTAGAGAATTTAGTTAGGTTTTTGGCCCAACAGATTTCCCATCTCATTCCCCAAAATAGGGATGAAGGAGAAAAAATGAGGAAGCTTCCCCAAATCTGCAGCATTCCATCTCATTCCCCAAAATAGGGATGAAGGAGAAAAAATGAGGAAGCTTCCCCAAATCTGCAGCATTCTCCAAATTTTTGGAGGAAAAAAGGGATGAAGGAGAAAAAATGAGGAAGCTTCCCCAAATCTGCAGCATTCTCCAAATTTTTGGAGGAAAAAATGGATTCTTCAAAATAGGGAAGTTGTTGGAGTTGGTGTAAAAATTAGTTGGAGAATATGACTTTTGCTTCCTCATTTTGGAGAAAATTTTGGAAAAGCTGTTGGAGATGCTCTAATAGTGTTGCGTTCGGACTCCAATCTGAACTTGTGTGGTCCCGAGTCCATCTTAACTCCAACCCGATTACAATGTTCGTTTGTGGAACATGTTTTACATCGAGAAATGAACGCGGGCTATTTTTGTAATTTATGCTCTGCATAAATCCAATCGTAGTATGTATCTCAATTTTCTTGTTTGAACCGTACCGGTTTCCGTTAAACTGTTATAGCTGAGTCGTGAGCTTACTATACTTTGAAAGACACGGGTAATTAGAGGTGTGCAACGGACGGTTCGGTTTGGTTTTTATCAAAATTTGAACAACAAACCGAACCGCCTATAATTCAAAACCGAACCTAACTGTTGCAAGTCGGTTCGGTTCGGTTCTAACTTCATTAAACTTCTTATCAAACAACAAACTGTGTTAAAGAAAAAATATCAACAAAGTAGGAGATTATGAAACATTAAACACTGATATAATGATACTGTATTCAACCCATAATGATATAGAAAATGAGTTTAGAGTTTGAGTCTTTGACTCTTTGGGGACGGGTCGGGTAGGGTTTGAGATCAGAATGAGTAGTATTGCATTATATTCGGTCGGTTCGGGTTGAAAAGTTTTCAAACCGACTCGAACCGCCCTATTCATAAAACCGATTTTTTCGGGTCTGTTTTTCCGGTTTGGACCGAACCATGCTCCGCCCTACGGGTAATCACACTAATTATCGAATCTACTTCTAATCCCCGTGTTTCTTCCAATTATTTTCTATGTTTACTCCTTTATTTTCCCCATTTAATCGCAAGTACATCAATCACATTAAACAATATAAAAAAAATGCATCATATATATATTTTTTATATCTATTTGATAGGTTGAGAATTAGCATTAGCTGAGCGATTAGGTATGGGACCGCTTTCTTAATTACTTCTTGTGTCTTGAAGTCGTGAAATTAAAAGCATTGTTTATATCGTCTTGTTGGGAAAAAAAATAAAGAGTGGGGGGGGGGGGGGTGGGGGGGGGGCGGGGGGGGGGGGGACTCCAATGTCAATGTTTTATGACATGCATTTCTCAATCACTTTATCATAAGATCAAGCGTGTTTCTTCTACGTATGTTTTTTCCCCGTGATTAATGTTTCTTCTACATAAATCAACGAGGGTGCAAATGCAAAAAATCAAGCCAACCATTTGTGACCGCGAGGGACAAAATAGGAAGGGCGCAAATGCAAATTCAAGCCTCAACCATTCGAGGCCAGAAGAGACAGAACATGAATCTTCAATAACTGTGCGAAATCAGTGCAAATACAAAAAATAAATGAACGCCTTGTCATTTTCTAATTCTTCGTTGCATCATTTTTTATTATATTCGGCACGGAGTTTCCATATTATTTGGCCCCTCATAAATATTGTCCTTTATCGCAATGTCCAGGCAACTTGTTCACCATTAGATCCACAATTGTTAGGGGCTGTTTGGTTGGTTTCCAAAAACCCAAGAATAGGAAATTGGAGCTTGGAAATCTCCAAAATTTCAATTTCACCATTTCCATCCCTAAAACTTACCCACAACATCTAATAAAATATTATTTTCATCCAACAACTCATCCACATCATCCAATAAAATATTATTTTCATCCAACAACTCATCTCATATCATCCAATAAAATAAACCAAAATAAAAGAAACGGGTCACATCATCCAACTCATCTCATCTCCATCCCATCTCATATTTAAAAATCACCCACATCATCCAATAATATTGTGACAACTCATCTCATCTCATCTCCATTTCATCTCCACCCATTTCCTCCAAAAAAACAAGGAAATTGATTTCCTTAAGTGTGGGTCACATCATCCAATAATATAATGACAACTCATCTCATCTCATCTCCTATTTTTAAGAATGAACCAAACACAAGAGAAGAACCTATTTATAAGAAATATGTTTCCTATTCTTTGATTTCCTTCTTTTTTAACCAACCAAACAACCTCAAAACAACTTTTCTTAAAAAAATACCCACATCATCCAATAATATTGTGACAACTCATCTCCTATTATTTGATTTCCTTCTTTTTTTAACCAACCAAACAACCATAAAACAATTTTTTAAGGAAATAGGTTTCCTATTCCTTGATTTCCTTCTTTTTTTTTGGCAAGCAAACAGCCCCTTACTTAGGCCTTGCTTGGCAACTCACCCTAACCTGGATAATAACACTAATTTGTATAAGCGTTTAAATTGCGTTTGACAAGAATTTGTACAATATTAGAGTAGTCATTGTTAGTTCAAAAAAAAAAAGTCTTTATCTGGGTTATCTTTGGGACAACTCTTATCCTGATTAAGATCTTATCTGGTTCAATGTGAAGTTGCCAAACACGTGTCGAAATCAGATTTTAGTCTCTGTGGTGTCATGCCTCTTGCCTAATTCTAGTGGTGTTCTACACTAATTGGTGCATTAGAAGTAAAAGCATTGATAATTTTAGGTTTTTATCTTTTTTGATGCTATCATACTTTAAATTAAATGATAATACCCTAAATAGTAAATATTAGTAAAAGTAAATAAAAATATCCCCAAAGCAGGCAATCTAACGGTGTCTAGTAATAACACTTTACACACGTTGCTTCGCTGTTGCTGGTTATTATGAGATTGCAGTTCTCAGACTACTTTTATACCACATAAAGTAGTTGATGACTCATAAATTTTAATAGTGATCCAAGAAGAAGGATATCATGCTTTTGTTTGTAGTGCTACAAATTCTAGTCTCGAAACTAGAGTGTATAAGATTGTAGTTTATAAGCAACGATAATTGGACCATAATAATTATACTATTTTCAAACTACAATACAAGAAATACGGGCCTCTTAGTTTTCAACTCAATGAGAATTTATGAGTTCTTATATATTCCACGGTTTCGAGTTTAATAGACTAGTCAACATTATTGGATTAGCTAACTAATGCAATGGTCGGTATTACAATTATCGTTGAGTACTTGCATTAGTTTGAACGGGCATAACAAAACAAACCTTATTTCGTTCCACAATTTATTTCGCTCGGATCATCTCCACCCAAAAAAAAAAGTATCGGAGAGATTACTATAATTATCATAATCATTAATTATTTAGCGAATGGTTGTAATTTATCCTAAATCTTAATACTCATGAAACACCCATGTATTCGACTCATTTCTAATTGGCATTACAAAATATTATCATCATTAGATTATCAACAGATATAGTAATATAGCGGTCCATCAACAATTTCTTTTTTACAACGGACAAGAGCTGAATCGCATATCAGAACCGTCCGCATGCGACGGACAGTTCTGCGCCCCAAATAAGAAGGTGCAATTACCAAACAACCCTTCTATTTTTCATAGGAAAAGACTCAAAAACCTCCTACGTACATACGCCGGCTCATAAGTATACAGTTCTGATAGTAGGATACGTACTCCTCTACTTCCCCTGTCTCCATTCACTCCCACCAGCAATCAAGGGCTCAATTAAATAACCTCAGCTGCAGTCATTCCCGCCCATTCATTTTCGTTTTCAACTCTCCTCTTCCCCATTCAAAGTTCAAACTACCCACTACTTTATTAAACCCCACGCAACCACCCGCCCCCATCTGGGCCCCACTTTCACCACGTCACCCCACCCGCTACGGGAAAATTCCCATGAAAGGGAGCTCCCTGTAGACGGTTGTATGGGTGTAGTCGCGCTCAGCCCCTTAAATCTTTTTTTTTTTTTAAATTTCTTCTCGAACAGTTGAATTACTATCGGGCCCTTCGGTTCTTAAAGTAATTTTAAATTAGTCCCACAAACCGTGGAATTTAGCAACAGGTCTCTCAATCCTCAAAATTTTATTTCGAACCAAAACTTCTATTTGCCATTTTCACTGTTGATTTGAGAGACTAATTTCGAAATTTTAATATATTTTAGAATAAAAGTCTCAATTTAAATTAGTACGGCAAATACGCGGTATCAGTATAATTGTTACCATTACGGTTAATATATTACTCCAATCATCAATATCGTATGTCCACAACCAGATTGATGTACCGCTACTATTAAGACCGAAGCAAAGCACTAAAACTCGAGCGCGTTTTATCAGAACACCCACATACAAGCGCGGGCGATACGCGCCGTTCTAGGACGATTTATCTCGTGCGCTCAATTTAGAAAAATTACCTTTTCCTTCGCGAGTGCTCTGAATCATCAAACGCTACAAATCAACTTTTTGTTTGAGAACTAGAGGGTGGGGGAATAGATTTGCTACAATCAAATTTGCATGCCCCTATATGAATTTCTATGGAGGGCCCCGCGTAGGAATTTTCGCCCTCATCCTGCTACTGTCCGAACCGGCAAACTCCCCCCTCGCCCTATTTTCTCTCCCCCAAAAATCCTCTCATCTCTCTCTGTCTCCCCTCACTCTCTTCTCCACTCACATTTTGCTTATAAAAGGGAGAAAGCAATCTCCTCTTTAAATCAATGGCCACGTGACCTCTGACCCCCTCTTCGACCTTCCCCTTTCCGTCTCTTGTCTCGAGATCTCGGGCTAAAAAGATCCATGGCGACCCGCCCTTCGTCGGCCGCTGAGGTTAGGGTTTTGTTGGATCTTGGATAGGGCTTGTTAGATCTGGGGACTGTTTGGTTTGATTTTGGTGAATGTTTGGTGCTGTAGTGAGCGGGAGTTTCAGCGTGGGGATGAGATTGCTTGGTACGCTGACGGGGATAAGATGGTGAGGAGCGAGTATAATCCGGCCACAGCTTATGCATTTGGTATATTATTTATTGAAATTCGATTGATTTTGACCTGAATTTACTATTTTGGTGTTTTATTTTTACAATCCAAATGTTCCCTATGGAAAAAAATGCACGTTGCGAATTTGTTTTTATTGGTAGAATGTCTAATGTCACTGTTATTATCAGTTTCTGTCCTGCCAAAATCTTGTTATTGTGTACGCACTAAAGCCAGCAAAGATCATAGTTGAACTATCAGCACATTTATTCTATATAGAAGGGTTTGCACATTGAGTCATATTATAGATGAAACTTTGGGCTTTTTAGAATCAAATGTGGACAGAAACCCTTCGTTATTTAGTATCGTTGAACTAGATGGGGCGCTTTGGATTCAAAGACCAACTCATGTAAGCAATGCAACTTATGCAGTGTAGGATTATGACCCATATTTATGGCCCACTGTAGCAAAATCATATTATTTATCTCTTTATATACGCCTACCCTTTCCTAGTTTTCATGAATACGGAGGGTTGTTCTTTGGTCTAGGAGGATAAATTGCATGACCAAAAATCTTAGGTTAATATAGATCTTATGGAAATGTCTCCTCTTGCTCATAATTTCCCTGCTTAGAAATTTGCCAGAAAATCAGTAGAGGATTCGATTGCAACTGGCACTAGATTACATAGTGCCAGCAAAAGAATGTTGAATTTCTCTCTCGCAACCTCGAAAAAAACCTTTGGGACAATATTCACTAGTGCCTTAAGATCATAAAACAACAAGAATGAAACTTGTCGGACCAATTTTTTGGGTTCTACTACTGACTACTTTTCGTGCGTTCAGTTTGTTAAGGGTCACATTTGGTATTGATTAAGTTTATAAATCTTTCATATCGAGTTGTGTGGGAACCATAAGCTTCTCTTCTATATGTTGGATCCATACGATCTAGCATTTCCTGTCTGAATCATTCATTTTGGATACTATCAGTGACCAAAATGACATGCGCTGCTTTATCAATTTTAAAGAAGTATTTGTATACAATTGAGTATCACAATCTTTACTGCATGCGTGTAAAAATGTTTTCCCCCCTGTTTCATCCTGAGTCATACAACCTTTTCTGCTTTCTTCATGTCAAAATTTTTAATGTGGTGAATGAACGCGTTCTATCATGAAATGACAATTACTTGCTGATTTTACTGCATGATACTGTGTGCTTATGCGCTTTCTTTTGAGAAGTACAATGTCCTTATACTGGTTTCTTGTGGATATTAAGAATATTATCAGGTTTGAGGCTTTGTTTTCCAGTTTGAACCTTTAATTTTTGAATTATATAAAGTTTATTGCTGTTTCTGAGAAGTGGGTGCCATAATGGAAATGGGTGCAACATAACCTTGATTCTTTCTGGCTTTATTTAAGTACAATATCTCCTGAATTTTCTTTGTAGCTCTCATGAACAACAAAATGCTTGTGCGTATCTTGTTTAAGAATACCATTTATTGACAATTTGTCTTTTTGTTCTACAATGCAGTCTGCTGAGTACACTTTACTAGCTTTCTCATGTAATTCAGGATTTCCTGTTGAAAGCTATGCTTAAATGGTGCTTTATGAGTTCATCAATAAATAGTTTGATTGAGATGAAAGCATTGTGTCTCTGATACTTTTTCTCTAATGTTTGGTTTCAAGTTCCAACTATATGAGTTCATTTGGCAGTCATTTAAGTTGTGGTCCAATGCATGCTTTAATGGTTCATGTGTACTAGCAAGCTTGAGATCATTTATGTTAGTCCTTTTTCATTGAATGACCATGATTATTTAAGTTCCCACAACAATTCTGTAACTTGTTTTAGCCAAAATACTTTTCTTTGTCAATATATTTGTCTCTCAACATTTACATTCATGGTTTATCCTTTTAGACAAAGTTTTTGGTCCTGCCACAACGTCAAAGGCCGTTTATGATGTTGCTGCTCAGCCAGTTGTTAAGGCTGCAATGGAAGGCATTAACGGTATGTGTAGTACCAATAATTTTGCTGTTTAGAAATAAACATGTTACCATCCATTTATACTTACTCATAAAACATACATAGTTGTAGACCTTGATTATTTAAAGGATTACAATTGGTTTGGGAAGTAAAAGATTCAAAGACCCTGTAGTCTTCAATGTTTGTTGACATTAAAAATAAAAAAATTGTGATGGTAGCTATTTCTCTCATGCATCAAAGGAGCTCAAAGTCAAAGTTAAAAGATGTATAGGAGTATTTAATCTTGGAGACAAGGTTCAAAATTTCAAAACAAGTGGTTAGTGAGTAAAGTCAAATCTCACATACTCATATTATTGACATGGAGTATAATGCCCATTCTTCACTTAATCTTCTCTTTGTTATCTAGTTATAGAAAAAATTATAACAAAATGAAGTAAGTAAGACTTTTAAAACTTAAGACATCAGCATATTACATTCAGGAGTGCTCAAAGCACTCCACAAAAAGAATTGCATCCACCCCGGGATATGTCCAGACAGTATTTTTGTTTTAAATGTGATCACGAAATGAATATCTATGAACAACTATCATTGGCCAAGAGAACATGGAAAGCATGCTGTTAACTTGTAAAATATTATCCTCATTTTTCTTCCTTGTTTTTGTTTTTTATTTCTTCATATTCTGAATGCTCAGTAAGTCCTATATTGTTGATGTACATTTGTTTTGCATCTCTCCTTTTCATTTCTTTTGTGAGAACATAAATTTTATGATGTTTATGTTAAACTGAAATTTCATTTATATTGTGCCTTAATCTTTCTTTTTTGTGTCAAAGCATAAAGGTCCTGGTCTTCTTTTACCAAGCAGATTCATTGAACCCAGAGCCATACTGAACTAAACAGTTAAACTGTAGGTACCGTTTTTGCCTATGGTGTTACAAGTAGTGGGAAGACTCATACAATGCATGTAAGTTTAAATTTCTCCTACGCTGTATGGTTAAGTTACATCTTCCAAATGCAATAATATGCCTGATATTACATAATCTTCTGTGACGTTCAAGTTCTATATTAACGAGATTAGTTACTTTTCTCCATTTTTTCCTTTGCCACTGTTAAAAGAAGAAATTTCTTTCTGTTCAGCGATCATTTGAAGGTGAAATACCCTTTATATACAATGTTATAGGATATCAGTTGAAAAGTTCTACAAAAGGAAAACTCTAATAAGGGTGTACCTAGCAAACTGCACAAAACTGGGCCAGGACCAGTTACTTCTGACCCAGTTTTGTGCTAAACCAATTTCTAGTCCAAAAGAAAACAAGTTTAGTGGTCAATTTTGGGCTTAAAAAAATTGGGCCAGCTTTAGCCCTCTCATTTGCCAAACAACAAACCACATAAATTTGGGCCAGGTTCAGACCCAATTTTACCAGGTTGCCAAACACACCCTAAGAAAGGAAAACTATAAAAAGAAAAGTCCTGCAAAAGGAAAATAGTATTTAATATCTCCTCAAACTCACAGTGGATCAGAAACCAATAGTTTTGATGATAAGTACCAAAATGGAAAATTGTTTGAACCCTATGAAAGAATTTGAGAATGCAAGGTAGACGAAGAAAAAAATCAACAAAAACGTAAAAGATTTTAGTGTGGTGAGATCAGTGATGTACACAAGTCCATTGATAGAGAGAACTCTGTGACATTGAGATTGAGGCGAAGGATACGAATTCAAGCACATCGGTAAATAAAAACACATGGTCAATGTCTCTTCTTTGGAGAGGAGGAACTCGTCATAAATACTACACCAAAGTAGCAGGAGATGGCGGAAAAAGGCTTTGAGAGGTATTGACACTGAGGGAGGTGCTCGACAGGAGTGGCTGGAGAAGAGAGGTGTTCTATAGGATGCCAACTGTGAGGAGAAGGTCATCTGGAGAAACCAAAGGATTTGAATATGTGAACAGTAGCAGTATGAGCTCGAAGATGTCTAAAGAGAAGTAGTAGAATCATGTTGATCTAGTCCGTCAGAAAATCGATCCGCAGAGAATAATCAGAGATTTACAAGCTATTTTTAGCTCGTTGATTTTTGGCATATTTTCTATATAATGCTGATGACGTACTAACGCGTATGAAATATTTGTATGGAATTTGGTTTTCCTTTACATTAGGGTGAGAATGCGAGCATAAAAGCTATTCCCATGCATATATTGCTCAGGAAAATATTCTTGTATATGCCATATTCCTGTTGCTCCCTTAGTTTATTGCCTCGGAGTAACCTCATTTCGCATGCGAAGGCTTGTCGTCCAATCTATATTCAGTAGCATTCTTTGTCCATCTATTCTTGATTTCACAGCACTTAAGATGAACCATTTCCCAGTTTGCGATTTCCTGATGCCACAACCACCTGAATATTATTAATTTAGGTTCATTTATATGCTGGCAAAGATAGACAGAATGACAGGACATGACAAATCATGTTCCATACCAACGTTAGTGAACTTGAAGAGATATGTTATTATGTCACTAGTAGGCGTTCGTGTTTTTTGTCGGACTGACTAGTAGACCCTAGAGGTGGAAGTTTGGTTGGGCCAGGTCATTGTTGGTCAACCTACTTAGATTTGGCCTACCAAATCGTTCTTAATTAATGGCTAGAGAACTATACCCAGCCCACTTAAAAGTTGGGTTGACACGATTCAAACCACATTGCCCGCTTGTTGGGCTAAGCTTTCTCTCTAACAGAATTTAGTACTGGTATGATAGAATTTAAGAGACATTCATATACGTGAATTGAGGGCACACAAAGACCACTTTGGCTTGCTGGTATTATTTATAATTCACTTTTTCCACAAATGCAATTGCTTTTAGACCACTTCCGAATTTAGGTCATTTGTTAGCTAATACTGACTTCCTGAGGAAGATCTTGGGTAATGTGTCTTCTGAAACAAGGTCCCAAGTTATGTATCTTTTGTGCAAAAATTGCAACATATAAGAGGTCAACTTATCCCATAAACATAAAGACCACAATGCGACATGATGAACGGTGACATGAAATAGATTTATATAATAGATAACTGGCTTAGATCAACTGGAACGGCTAATGGGATCATGCGATTTGTACCCACACCCGATCCATTTAATAAGTGGGTCACAGGATAACCTGTTTATGCCACATACTTGACACTATTTGTACCTGCTAACTATGAATCATAAGTTCGGATCGATTCAAGACTGCGACCTCTAGAGAATAAGTATTACGAGAAAGATGATTATGCAGTGGGTGGAGGTAATACCATATGAGCATTTATAACATATAATTATGCCACTTAAAATCTACTTATTCCCTGACTCCTACCAATACCCACTCCCCTACCCAAGGGAGAGGCATTGGCTTCCTTCATACCATGTAAGCAATAATTAAGTCAACATACCTTTCCATACTACTTTTTCCCATCTCATCATCTTTCATTTCATCTGCTTTCTTTGGATGGTCATGATAAAGATGGCTCATATTAGGGCTCGGTGTACATGTAAACTTCACTTCTAGGCAGATGCTATGCTGAGTGACACTTCAATTATCACAAATTTTTCTTGTCTTTATTCTCATGTTGAATTATAATACTCTAAATTTGTTCTTAATAGGGAACACTTGGTGAAACTGATTCCATCAACTATATTGTGTATTTTTGATTCACAGATAATATTTACTGTTTGTAGGGTGATCAGAGATGTCCTGGAATCATACCATTGGCCATCAAAGACGTTTTCAGTATAATTCAAGATGTATGTACAATCTTGTGTTCCTGTTTTATGCTTTACTCCACTTATCTGATGGTTTGTTCTTTGTAATGTTTTATTAGCATTGCCTGTATGTTGCAATTTATCTGTACACTTGGAAAGGCATCTGTTGCATAAACTAATACTTGCAGTCAGTATATTGATCCCTGGTTTTATTGTCATCAATATATTAAACACGTGTAGAAAACCTATATTGAAGTTTATTAGATTGAATTCCTCATCTTTTTGTCCTCATTTTTATTTTCTTCTTCTTTTTCATGCTACTGGAGTTCATATTTGTGTACTGATTTAACACCACATAGCATATGGTACATTTCCATTGCGAAGACATGGTAGTCTTGATAAAATATTTACAGATTAGTTTGGATAGTAACGTCTCTGGACTGTATATGATCTCAATTTTAGCTTGTATCTTGAGGGCTCTTAATGCTGGAAAGTTTTCTATACTCTAAGCTAAGTAGATATCTAGACATATCAGTCTACGTTGTGATATCATCTCATTACGAATGCACAATCTTTATGGTCCTTTTCCAAGTCATTAATCACCAGTATAATGTCATATTTTGTACTAACAACTTCATCTGTTTTACAGCTTGTTTCTGCTGATTAGTAATAATACTTTTAACACTGATTGTAAATTAGATGTCCTTACTGCTGCATGTAAATGCTCTTACTTCTTGACATGCATAGTTCTAATACTTGTATTTGTTGGCAGACTCCGGGAAGAGAGTTTTTACTTCGTGTTTCATATCTTGAGATTTACAACGAGGTGAGTGTTTTGAGATATTGAATCACATTTAACTGATCTTTTGACCTGATATTTTCATTTTAAATGTCAGATGTGTGCGTGTTTGTATGTGTGCGTGTGTGTGACCGCGTAGACATGCATACATATATACATATACATATCTGTTTGTGTGTGTTGGGGGTGCATGGGTGCATAGGTTTGTGGATGTGTGTGGCCTTTGAACACCGATGTTCATTAGCTCTCATCATTTGCATTCTGTTAAATTATGTAGGCCTTCCATTTTGTGCGTTCTTAATGATTAAAAAGATTTAAAATATGTGCTTTTTGGCTTTTTAAACTTCAAATGAAGTCGATCAACTTGAAGGAATGAATCTTCAACTTAATATAACCATCCCAAAGTTTGAATGGAAAGGATTTGCTTCCAAATTCGTTTGAAAGGCTCACATACGCATGCACGGATGCACGTCCACACACCCACACCCACACGCATGCACACACACCCATGCGCTCCGCGCACACACACACACTTTCAGCTGATAACTTATTCTCAGAATAAGCATTCAGAAAACTTCATATGGGCCATTCTTTGCAAACTCTGAGCCTTTCAACTTGATCTACATATCTAAATAGGCTAAAATGAAAGATAAGTAGTTTTGATTTTCGAAGTTAGATTTTTCTAATTTTTACCTATACAGGAAATAATATAAGTTTTTCTAGGTCTGGTACATATGTTTATTGCAACTAACTTTGAACATGAAGGGGGCTTGGACACCACCAGATTTGTCCTATGGACGAATTTGGATGTGGGGAAGAAGATGAATAGTGTTTACAGATTGTCCATGAGATGATCCATTACAGAGTTATCATAAAAGTTCTAATTAAACAAATTAATCTTATTGGAAAATTTCCCTCTATATTTTTAAAATTTTTATGTGTATATTTTTATTAAACTCAAGAATTCATCGAAATCTCACAATTTAGATGTACATATCTCGTGAACAATACCAAACGAATTATTTGTATTTTCTCTTTTCTTTTTGATGCTTAGTATCATGATAATTCTTTAGCTTACATATTTGTCTGGGAATACTTAAATCTTTTCGAAACTCATCCTTGTATTGTTGTGGCAGGTGATAAATGATTTACTTGATCCCACGGGGCAAAATCTGCGCGTCAGAGAAGATGCTCAGGTTTGGTACACAAAATCCTCTAAATTATTAGTGCGAAAGCTCAAGTATATGCAATCTGTACTGAACATGTTGCTGATCTGACGAACAATTGATTTTTTCTTTTTTTTTGTGCACACATGCAGTTTGTGTAGGTGCGAAACTGCTGCTTATTACTTCTGGATTTGCACTCACCTTTCCCAATTGAGCACTTCTCCTAATACATTTAACTACCATGAGATTTAACATGTGCATGTTTTCCACTAATATCAATACAATAACTATGCTTTGACTGTTTACAAGTCTGAAAAAATTATGGCTGTTAATGTATATATATATATATATATATATATATATATATATATATATATATATATAGTATATATATAGTATTGTGACCCAGGGGATAGCTCGAGAACATTTGTACCATCAAATGAAGAGAGCAACATTTGACCTTTAAAGACATAGGACAATTTCACTTGGAGGCTTTTGAAAATTATGTGGGAAAGTCAGTTCAATTCCCTTGTGGATGTGATGAAATAATGATTCTGAAATTTGAACAGCAGATCATGATCTTAATTGACTACCAAAAGAATGAGAATAAACCTTTACCATTTATTTTTCTCTTTTCTCTATGATCTCCTTAACAATAATTGGTAACTATCGTACACTTGAGTTATAAATGGTTTCTGATGGACTTTGGTAACTATTGCAAATATGTACTTTTGGCTTCTGATCATCTTTTCCCTTTATTAAGAACCATTCACTTGTTTATTTACCAAGGGTAAAAATTTTACAGGGAACTTATGTTGAGGGAATAAAGGAAGAAGTTGTTTTATCTCCTGGACATGCACTTTCCTTTATTGCTGCTGGTGAAGGTAATGCTTCATTTACACTATTTTTTTCCACCAGTATTTGCTGGGGGATAAACCAGGCCCAATCTAGAGTTGATGAGTCTTACACAGAAGTTAAAAATCAATTTTAACCCAAAAGCTATAGCTATCAGGTATTGACCCAAACTCCTATTTAAACTCATCACTCTTTCTTATCCGATGTGAGACTATACTCCCATATTAATCACCTCAACAACTCTCCCTTAATTTGTGAGTATAGTTCAATTTAACTATAATTCAATCTTCCACGGAATTCACTAAGTTTTGCACCACTTCACCCGTGGGCTAACCAATTCACAAACTTTTGTACCACTTCACTCGTGGGCTAACCAGACCATGCATTTAACACATAGCTATCAAACATCCGTAGGAACTTCCACCACTTCACTCATGGTGGCTATCTAGACTATATCACTCCTACGGGCATCCGTGGTTTCTCCCGACACCTTCGGGCTTCACATAAAAAATCATCTGTTTTTTTAAATTACTTAGACCATGACCTTAGCTCTGATACCATTGCTGGGGGATAAACCGGGCCCAATCTAGAGTTTATGGTTCTTACACATAAGTTAGGAATCAATTTTAACCCAAAAGCTATAGCTACTAGGTATTGACCCAAACTCCTATTTAAACTCATCACTCTTTCTTATCTTATCCGATATGGGATTATACTCACATATTAATCACCTCAACAATATTGCCATATATTGTATTTATAGAATCTTATATCTTCTTCATAGTTCGTAGCTGCTATGTTGTAAAAGTACTTTGTCTTGATACCTTATTTCGAGAAGATCAACTTCGATTATAAGTGATGGAAAGAAGGATAACTCGTGCAACCATTTTTGTCGAATGTTAGTGTGACCCAACAAAGTGAATGTAAAAGAAATGAAACTTATTCACCAATAGTGTACACATGATGTGTACTAATAAGATTGATCTTGCTGTTATCTTTGGACTTGCATTGATAATTTCTCAACATTTTGGGTTTAGACAGGATATAACTTGAGTCTGAATTTTTGTCTGGCATGGATTCATTATTAGTTACATGAAATTCCTTTAAGCGTAATTCTTGGTTTCCATGCTCACAGTAAAATTCTCGAAAGTTTTTGACATTCTCAATTCTAGTACTCATAATTGGATTATTTCGTTTATACATAATCTATAAGATGAAGACTCATGGTATGCAGTTTATCATAGTTTTGTAACAGCAGCTCAACTAGATCGGTCTAAATTGATGATCTCATGCCACATGTCCTGGGCCCTTGGTCTCATGCTAAATTGTGCAATTAGTTCAGTTGCCATCTAAACTTTTTGTGCCCGGATTCTGAGTGCAAAAGTAGTTATTTTGTTGCTTCGCAGCTGCCTAGGTTAGGTTTGATGGTTCGATTCTGTGTACCATTGATCATCATAGTGTTTTGTTCTAGTCATTCTTTGTTTTGGGTGATGTGTTGATTCAAAGGAGCCAGGTTAAATTGAAAATGGTTTGGTTAAACACTAACATACAACAAGAACATGAATTGTTTCAGTATGTAGAAGGACAATGACTTCTTTCAAATATTTGGACAAGGCTTTCTTTCGAATATTACCACATAAGACTATTTGAAGTAATGTGTGCGGGCTTTTGGTTTGTGGTGGGTAGTCTGGTTTGTGCGCGCGTGTGTGGACATGCCTGTGCGGGCTTTTGGTTTGTGGTGAGTAGTCTGGTTTGTGTGCGCGTGTGTGGACATGCCTGCATGCTTGGGCGTGTGTCATGTGTGTGCGTGTATGGTTTGGAGGTGTGGCGCGGGGTGTACGTGCGCGTACGTGCATGGGTGTGTGTCAGGAGTTCGTATCTGTTTCTTTGAATTTCAGTTATGATTTAAAATGTTAGATATTACATTATGCTTCAGAGTGGAAGGCTATAAGCAGTTATTTGTTTTTCAGTATATTGTGGTTATGCCTGCTGTGTAGATCAATATGATTACCATGTCAAACCAAGTTACTTTCTATTACTACTAAATCTTAAACTTCCTGCCACCACACCGAAACTCCGAAGGTTTTGGTGAGGGGTGAGGGTTATAATTTCATATTCTAAGATGCCCATGCGTGTATCAAAATTTTAAAATCCGATTCACATTCATGGTAGGTAGGAACTGATCCCAGTTTGCTCTGATACCATTCTAAAGTCCCTACCATACACCAAACACAGAAGTTGTGGTGAGGGTTGAGGGTTATAATTTTACATCCTAACAAACTTCTTTCCTATAAGACTAAGAGTCAATTACATCATAATTGTTATTTCATTGTTGTGCTATCAGTACTTTCACGTCTTATTGTTCTTTCTAGATATATTGTCCTTTCATAAAAACTAAAGAGCTTACTCTTGTGTGTGTTTCATCATCTTGTTGGACGTAATTGATTGTATTAATTTCATCTGCAGAGCATCGCCATGTGGGTTCTAATAACTTTAACTTGTTTAGCAGTCGGAGTCACACTATCTTTACACTGGTATGCATAAGTTTTGGACTTTGATATTGCCAAGCGACCATTATTTTACTATTTCAGTATTTTGTTGTTTGTTGTCTGGAATATATTTTTAGTAGCTTGCCCTATGATGACAGCATAATTCAGAACTGTCTATTTGATAAACTTAGTTGTGTTTTATATAAGTTTGTCCATACTACAGTGCAATACACGATCATCTGGTGGCTTTCCATTCACTTGCAATTTTTTTGGATCTTAATGAGCAATAAACAGATTAGAATTAAGACAATAGAAAGTGATTCTAATGTGAGAAAAGACCAAAATTAAGAGATCTTAAGTGGTTGGAATGTTAGTTGTAAACTTGATTCCTTGGATATGCTTACATGGTTTGTGCCTTGAAGCGGAGACTAAACTGCTTTAAATCTTAGGGAAACTCATAGCCTTAGGAAATGGATTTATAACCTTCAAACATTTTCCTCTGAGTCTCTGAGATTCTAGAAGCATATAGGTAACACTTGGGAAAAGCTGGGGCTATTGAGGAATCGTGATAAAAACAATTTGTGGCACATATGCACTTCAGAGCTTTGGTGAATGCGCAGATATTTGTGTTTGGAGTGTAAGAATATTTCCTTCAACCTTCATCATAACCTCACAGCTGCAGGGTAATGACAACACCATTGAGATGATATCTGAGTCACCTAGGTTCAAATATTGTCTGGCATGTAAGGAGATTAATTAGAGGAATATACTATTGTGCTAAAATTTACCTGCAAAAGTATTCTCAATTTATTACGGAGTATTAAACTTTGCATTTCTTTAATCCTTAGCATAACTTCAGAGCTCTGGTGTAGAGGAAACTTAGCAGTTTTATATGAAATGCACATTGATTGTTTTCATATAATTTTAATTTGAACCTTTTCAACTTGGTTTCAGGTCTTTCACATTTGACTGATAATAGGAGTTTCCCATCAAATTTTAAGTATATATCAATACTTTGTTAGTTGAGAGGACACTATTATGTGTGGAATGTTAATCATTGTACTCCATGAGATACTTGGAACTTGTTGTTCCTTAAATTGGAATGAGCTATTATAGCTTATAAACCTTGGTTTTGGATGCACTCTGTATTTTGACCCTAAATTTCCTAAGAACAATTCAATATGCAGTTTATCATTATGCTTGATTCTTTTAGCTGTCTATATGTCTATGTACATATTATTTAATTCGATGTCGAATATGATTATTATCCTCTTGTTATGGTCTTCTTCTCAATATTTACTTTTAGTGTCATGAGCTGTGAAGGGGATCTTAGCAATTCCACACATGACAATGTCATTCTGTGGTCACAAGTATTGGAGTACGTTGTGTTTTCTCTTACTCTTTTCCTGGTGTATACTTTCCGCAGATGATTGAGAGCAGTGCTCATGGCGATGAATATGATGGAGTGATGTACTCTCAACTGGTATAATTTGGAATAACCATTGCCGTGAAAGTTGACTTACTATAATTTGAATGCCTCACTTCTTTTGTTTTTGCAGAATCTGATTGATCTAGCTGGCTCTGAAAGTTCCAAAACGGAGACAACTGGGCTAAGGAGAAAGGAGGGATCATATATAAACAAAAGTCTTTTAACTCTTGGAACTGTAGGTGTTAACTGTCAGTCCTTTTCCAACTCTTGGTAGTGTTTGTTTACCTGTTGAGGACCCATGATCCAAACTATTTTTCAGGGAATAATGCTAACCTTGCCTGTGATCTTTTAGAAATAGTGTCTCTCATTGTTCTTAAAATTAATATTATCTGTAATTACAACCAGGCAATGAAGATGCTTAAAAGTTCAAAGTTAAATTATTTCAGTACCTTCTGCAATATGCTTGGTAACTAATAAATGCTTGCTTGAAAATAGTTTCAGTCTAACTTTTTCTTTTGTGCCTTGTGTTTGGCAATAGAGGCAGTCTGTATTTTTCGTCCCTCTCATGGAGAATTTGAATTATGCCATGACGACATTTTATTTTTTTATCTGTCTTCAATAATTGTTGAATAGTTAAGAAGTTTTTAGTCACCATTACTGAAATAGATTTATAAGTTATAACTAATATACTGAGAGTAAAAAGATTCCACCCTTTGGGAGTGTTCTGAATGTCTGATGAATGCAAGCTGAGTAATGCAGTGCG